GTATTTCTTGGATAGGTGGTACATTATTCAATTACAAATGTCACCTGAAGTACCGAATATAGCTTTAGCTGTGTCTTGCATTACCTGTCACTTTCCTCCGTATTGACCACATTCTTTCATCTGGTTAATATATCTTGCTTTTCTAAACAATATTTTGTGAGGAAATTGCAAAATTGGCCCTTATTTACGTTGACTGTTCTTAGTTTATAATTTGCAGTCAGTTTTGCTGTTCCTGGAGTTTTTCTTCTTATATGCGAGGAGATCTTTAGATCTGTAAAGGCACCTTACTGTGCCCATGAAGTACAGGAATGCTTGTAAAGTCGCAAACATAGGCATACAACTGGCCTGATGGTATATTTGAGACAATTACAAGTTTCTTTTGCTGGCAACTCATACAGTTTAGAAAGTACCAATGAATTTTTTTTGCGATGTGACTGAAAGATGATACCATAGGCTTCTCCACTGAAAAATGTTGACTGGGATTCTGTGTGCTGGTGCTGGCTCAGTTGCTTTCTGGAGACCAACCCTCTCTCTAAGATACTGTGCTAAACTTCAATAAAATTAACATTAAATTAGGTTTTGTTTCACTGTCAAATATGACATGAGTTAAGACTGAGTTTCCCTCCTGAAAAGGAATGGGAAGAGGTTTTTCCCTTCTTTTAAAGAAGTGAAAGGAACTAACTTCAATATTGACTCATTTTGGATGATAGGTTAAAGATGTTTTTGCTTGAAACATGCAGCAATATTCGTAAACATAGTAGCTCATATAAATATTTATTCTTCTTCATAGCAAGAAGTTGCTACAACTTCTTTGAGTGTCTTTATTTCTGTTAGGAGGAAACTCCAGAAATTACAGGTTTATTAGTTTATTGCATCTGGCGTTTGTTTTGTATGTTCATTTTCTGTTTTCCTTTGTAGGTGTCACCATAGATATTACAATGATTTCAACCACACTCTTGCAGTGTTCTCCATTGCTGTCTATTCTTTATACAATTTGCACCTTAAACTTTGCTTCTCAGTTTTAAAGATCATCCTTTCATTTTGTCCCATTATATTTTTGTTCATTAGTCTCTGTTGCCTCCAAGCTTGTTCTCTAGAACCCCATCTCAGGCTTTCCATTCAGTTCTATTTCTTTCCTCTTCATCTTCATTCACAGTGAATAGATTTCGAAAGTTCAGTTGCTGGTTTTGCAGATCTCTTTAAAAGTATTGCAGTACAAGTTAACAAAGCACATTATTTACTCATTCTGGCCAATGTCATTAACTTCTACTACTCCTGTATATACTCGGTCATCCTTAAACCAAGGCTGTCAGGTGTCTGGATCTATTCCAGCATGTCTTGTTTATGCTCAGAAAGCGAAGATGCCATTCATTTGGATTCTTAAATAGCTGTTGGACTCAGGCTTGACATTTGTGATGAAACTGGAACCTTGCCTGTGTCCATGGCAATAAAGTTACATCCATTAGGAAGGTCTGTGTTTACTATTCTTCTCAGCTATTTCTTGGTGGAAATGGACAGTTAGTTTGATTATAAAGTAAATATTTGCTTGAAAGATTTTGATAGGTCTGAAACCCTCCATGCCCCAGAGCTGTATTCAAGACTAATTTATTCCCCTACTTCTCTTTTTATTTTGCTTTATAAATATGGTGTGAAAATGATTGAACAGACAACACTTTTGAGGATGGAACTTTCACAAGTTTTTTAGGAAATCTGCAATCTTTGCTGGAGGCTGGATGCGTAATTTTGCACAAATTGTAGTAACATTGGAAGCACTGGAGCAAAACACCTGACTTGAAAGTACTGATGCAATGGCTATGATTTTCCACTGTAAGGAAGCCTGGTATGGACAGTAGTACATGCTAGTATAGCTTGAGGATGTTGATAGCTATGTATCCTTGCTACATACCATAGTCTTATGAATGTAGCTGCCAATTCAATCTGTGTCTGTCTTAAAGTTGCAGAATAAAACCAGATCCTCACCCTAGTTTGGGCTCCCAGGTTTTCGATGCAAAATCAGAGTCATAGGCAGGAGGAATTTAAACCAGGGAAGATAGATTATAGAAGGTCAGAAGCAGGAGAGTCTACTGAGGCAGAGGTAGATCTCAGATAATGTTTTATTCCTTTTTACTGAACTTGCATATGACCCACATTGCTGCTGTGAAGGGCAGTGTTTCTTCCAGACAATCTGTGGGATCTCTGGCACTGCTTCTTCACTTAAAGCCCAGTCATTTAGGACTTTTGGCATTTCTGTATGAGTGCTGGTCCTCTTAGACAACGAATTGGAAACTAATTATTTGGGAGGTGCTGAAAGAAGGCAAAAGGGAATGGGAGGAATGGAGACAGTATGACAAGATAAGAAGGAAGAACAAGGAGCAATAACAGCTGTCCTGGGGAAGGCATTAGTGCTGCAGTTCTCAAGCTGAGAATGGTTTCTTTCATTGTAGAGTAGTACGCTGCTGTAACCGTATTCTCCAGGTCATAGACCTGAATGTAAAAGAATTTTAATTCTGCCCTTTACAATAAACAAATTTACTGAGGAGAAAAGAAACACAAAACATTCAGGTTTGATTATATTCTCCTGTCCAAAGCTGCACCTCTAAATCAAGTGTGTATGTAGGCATGGGGGAAGAAGGCATCCAGTCTTGTTTATTTTCTTCTGTCTTTGGGGAAGTGACAGCACAGTGGGAGGAAGAAATGTTAGACTGTACAAGAAGTGTGCTGAATGCATACCTGATTTTTGCTTCGTACAGGAAAAGGATGGCAAGCCAAGTGCAATGTACCATGAATCACTGAATCTGTTGGCTGCCGGTTAGACAAGTGATGTAAAGTCATACTAACTGATCTATAAGGTGATACCAACTCATTCACATGTGTAAAATGGTCTCACTGCTGCTGCTTTTCTTCCTCTTAGTACATTTTTCAAGCTTTTGTGCTCCAAAAAATTCATTTGATTTTTCACTCGGTGACTAACTAACACAGCCAGTGATTTTTTTTTTCTGGGCAGTTCTCAGAACGTATTTTGACCTGGAAACTTGCATCCAGCGAGCACCAGTGGATACGCTGCTTGTTATGCTGTTTAGTTGAGCTGGCTGTCACTTAATTGTGAGGCAGAACTGACTCTTGGCAAAGGTTTAATTAATTTGTGAATATAACTCTACTTTAGGTTGTTTGGAAAAAAAGTGATAGTCAAATTAAAGGGTTTTTTTAATATCAAAAACGTTAAATTGTAATGAAAATTTAAGTTGTCATTTAATGCAACTTTTTTCTGACAAATACTCCTACGTACAGTAAATCCTGACAAGCTTGTTTATACCAAGAAAGGAGAAAAATGTACACAGTTATATGAAGTGATTATATGAAGAACTGAGTGGTTGACCAAAAGACTTTAACATGCGGATCTTTAACATGACCTGTTACACTGAAAATCTTGTTAAGAGCAAAGGGAATACACTTTATATACTCAGCTAAGCATTTATGGTTCATATAATTAGTTTTGTCTAAGAAAATGAAGTCCATATTATCTAATTATGAAAGTTTTGTTAGTAATGTGGTTTAAATTTTATATATAAACTTCATAGAATCATAGCATGCTTTGGGTTGGAAGGGACCTTTAGAGGTCATCTAGCCCAACCCCCCTGCAGTGAGGGGGTTACTTCCTACCGACTCCCCCTGTTACTTGATGTCATGCTGCCTCTTCCAGTACTGCTCCAGGTCTGAAGACTGACCCTTCAATGTTCCTCAGGAAGGGGGAGAACATTTCAACAGTTAATTACTTTTTGGGTTCTCTACCTCCTCTTCAGTTTTGGAGTCTGCTAGAGGCTACTTTTTTGTGTTTTCTTAAGG